CCCCCCCCCCCCCCCCCCCATGGTAGCTGTCAGGCTGCTCCTGTGGCGGCTTAGAGCCCCGTTCACACCCCGTAAGAATCTGAACATGGGCTATTTGATTAACACATATCTAGCCATTTTATCCGTGTGTGACGCCCAGCATGCTCTGCAGGTCGTGTTCGGCGGAGAGGCCACTTGTACATACTGGTAGCTGACCCCAGCAGGTTTTTGGAGGCCTTGTCTTCGGTAGGCACGTAGCCTGGGGGGTAATCTGTGGGGTCAGAAAATCGCGGATCAGCTGCTAACTCCTAATAATGGGACGGAGAGTTTCGGAAAAATCTGGCTTTTCAGAGGCTGGCAGCTGAGATGGACGGGCACCCTCACCGTAATCCTCGTCTGGGTACTCCAGTCTCTCCGCGTACTGGGGCTCTGCGATCTCTTCGTACTCCTCCACCATACTGGTACCAAACACCCTGTCAAGGGGGAGGGGAGGTCAAGCTACATGAGGGGGAAGGGGGTGACTTTCAGGCCCCCTGCCATTTTAACAACTCTGCTCTTTATGAGTGGATCTTTTCTACACTTTAAAATGTTAAATGCTGGTCTCTGCCGTCACACTTTTGGCCACTGAGGTACAGCCACTGTGGTTTTCTGTGGCCCCAGTCGCCCCCAGGGACTGAGGGGGGGGGCAGAGCAGGAACCGGCGGCAGGAGAATAATTACCGCCAAGTCTGTCGAAGGTTTTGGGCATGCGGCCAAGGGCTGCCCTGAAGAGTCGGGCGGGCCCCTGTTCACATCACACACACCCCCACCCCACCCCCCACTCTGCATGCCCTCACAGTCTAAATTAACTGCAGCTATGGAGCTGTGGCAAAGCCCTCAGGCACGCTGCCCTCAAACTGCACTCAAACAACGTTACGTGCCGAATTCTGCGTTTACCGATACCGTGTCCGGAGACGGCACAGCGTAGCACAGATACCCTGCGAAGTGCAACCCTGACGACGGCCGCCGCGGGGCAAAGCTCCTCTCTGCCGATCTCCCTGACATTTTAAGGACTAGGAGTCACTATCAGCTTATTGTCCATTTTTGTCCAACCCTGTTCATCTTACTCTTACGTTCTGTACTGTCTTTGCACTGTCCGTGATGTTCTACACCGTCTGTAGCATCGCGTGTTTCCTGCCTCCTTCTGCAACATCTGTAGCATCTGTTGCCTTTTGTACCCGAGTGTGGCTGAATAGGTAAGCAATTCCAGACGCGCCCGTTACCCACGGCCAGTAAAGATCTTGAATCTTAACACTAGCAAAGTCATCACACAAAAACGTTATTCCGTTAGGCCGTCATTTACGAATAATCACCCACATTTTAGTTGCTTTATTTCTGTCTTAATCGCAACATTCCTTCAGCGGTCCGGGCTTTACCTGATCAGACTCAGGGGGCAGAAATGTTCAGACCCAAAGTGGGACAGCAGTTCCACCTGAAGACCAAAAGATGTGAGGGAGATTAAGAAAAGGTTCAAAGCAGCCAAAGCGGTACTCAGCAAAATACAGACAGCAGGGTGTCAGAGTCGTGATCGATTCGGTGTCACCACAGTACTGCATCACCAGCAAAGCCCCCTGAACCCAGGACCATGCACCCAAAAGGGGTGAGAGAGGAGAAGGCTAACCTTTATGTACTTGATGAACATCTGACGCAAGAGGAACAGCAGAGAGACAGAGGGAAAGAGAGAGAGAGACAGCAGTTGGTTAAAAAAGGCCAGACAGATACCGCCAAGCCGAGTGATTTGGCTCTTCGAGAACGAGATGTTTACAGAAGCTGCAGAATCAGAGAGAAGCAGCCAGTCAGAATAAAGGCGTTCTGAACCTGAGCAAGACGACACAGGTCTAGAGAACTGGATAGGGCAGATCACCCCCCCCAGGCTGTGGGGAGGGGGGGGGGTGTACAATGTGTTTTGATGCATTAGCTGGCACACATATTGCAGAACCGCTCTGGGGCAGCCTACCATTCACACGGATGTGCTCCAACTGCTACCTTCACTTTTCACACTTTGACAGTTAAAATAATAATTATAATATAATTTAAGCAAACAGGTGTGTGGCAGGTAAATAGAGAACAGAAGGCGGCTCCTGCAGAGAACAGAAAAGCCACATTAAGCACCGAAGAGTGTGGGGACACCTATAGATTACGGAGCCGAACACCCCCCGGCGCGGTGACCGGGAACGCTCCTTGCCAGGCGGCACACGCAATCGCGAGTGACTGCTTTCCCGACACACTCCGGTCAGGTCATAGATCAGCTCTGGTTTCGCTGCAGGACACCAAGTCCCCGTTATTTTTACGGGAAAGTCGCCAGCCTGTGCAGACAGGTGTGGGAACAAGGAGCTCCTTAGGAGACCCAGAAGGAACGTGCTACTCCTCTAGAGGTCCATGACCTTTGACCTTAGAAGAACGTCTGAAATGAAGGCCGTGTGTCCTCCATGGAGAATCGCCAAGTCTCTCAATATGTCACGTCTCAGAACGTGTACTCCATCAGGATGTCTTGTACTACCTCAGGCCTCACCTTCATGTACTTGGCGTAGAGTTGCTCATCCAATGGGAAGCTCTGGACGGTACGCTCGTCCCGAGCATGGAAGGTGCCCAGTTTGACCCACTTGTTAGTTGGGTACCTGATGGTGTGAGCAGGTAACAATGGCTTTGGTCGAATGCAGAGAATTGCAAACCCACCCGGCCCCGATTCAGACAGCAGGCTATCTAAGGACACCTGACCTGTCACTGATGGACACCAAGAAGTCTTTGGGGGTGGAGGAGAACAGCTCGAAGTTGGCGATGTCCAACTGTTTCACTTGGATGGGTTCACAGAGCTCTATGACGAACCTGAGGCGGGAGGGGGGTTGGCGGGGGACAATACAACAGTCATGAAATCCAACAGGAAGGCTTCCCCGCCCCACCCACCCCCCCCCAAAAGTCCAGTCCCCTTTTTTCCGGGTGGTACAGAAACAGTTGGCATTGGGGGCGGGAGGAATGCCAGATATGTTTGTGTTCATATCTGTGTGGGGACCTTGCATTCATGTCTATGGACATAACCCCAATCCCAGCCATGACAGCCTTAATCCCTCCACAGCCCTAACCTTAACCACAAGTAACCAAACAAAATATAGTCAAACCTCGGACTGCGAGCAACTTAGTTTGCGAGTGTTCTGCAAGACGAGCAAAATTTTAAAATACATTTTAACTTGATAAACGAGCGAGGTCTTGCAATACGAGTACAGTCGTCCCTCGGCATTTCGCGCTTCGACTTTCGCGGCTTCACTCTATCGCGGTTTTTTCCAAATACATTTATTCATTAAAAAGTTGATAGACGGTGAAAATGATACAGCGCTCGGTTGTCTGAGTCAATTATACACCTCTGTATCACAATTAAAATAAAAATTACTGTACGTATGGACTGTAGGCTTATGTATTCGAGCACCCCCGCAAATCCTTCAATGCCAGGTGCAGCCGAATAATAAAGAAATAAAGAATCCTGCTTCGCGGAAATTCATTTAATGCGGTAGAGTCTGGAACTGATTAACCGCGATAAACGAGGTACGACTGTATTACGTATACACTGTCTGCCTAGCATCACATAATCACAACTGAGCCGATGGCTCTCTCTCTCTCGCTCTCTCTCTCGCTGCGGGATTGTGGGTAATCATTTCCCATGCTCGGTCTCAGTTGGCGTGCCTCACTCGTATAGTCAAAAATTAGTAGAAAAGCACCACCCGAATAAGGGCTTAGCAGCGTTGAATTTGTTTAATGACAATGCAATGTTCACATTTCTGCGGAATCGAAAAGGAGGCAAAAGCGGCTGTCATTGGATAGGTTCCTTGTTAGTCGCACAAAAAGAAAAAGATTCCAGTGAGCCAACAGACAGCAGTGATTCTGTTAGTTATAGTGAAAGTCGTCCTACAAAATAACCCTCCTCTCCTCCTCTCTCTCGTCTCCCTCACACTATCCACGATTCTTTTCAAAGGCAAAGTGCAGGTTAATTTGTTTTATGTATTTTTATTTACTTATATTTTGAATTAATCATTTTTATATGAATATTTTTGGGTTGTGGAACGAATCATCTGAGTTTCCATTATTTCTAATGCAAAATTTAGTAATTTGGATTATGAGTTAATTTCCGGAACGAATTCTGCTCGTAATCCGAGGTTTTACTGTATAAGACTTTTGGCATTGATAATCTGTAACTTCAATAAAAAAAGTCACAAAATTTAGTTTCCCTCCCTGTGGGACCGACAAAATGGACCCCACATTAAAATAGCAGGTTCTCTTTAT